ACAAAATTATTGTAAAATAAACGACATTATTTCACTGAAAATTTAGGCTCACTGAGTTGGAAAATATATGGCTAATTTTATTATTAAATCAAGAATGTTCTAATAGCTCAGTTTTTACGTTTTCAACAATCGTGAATTTGGTGCTCTACTTATTTGTTTTCAGAGAAACTTCAACCATCCCACCAAATATTATATCCCACATTTCAAATTTAACATGTTTTCCCATTGTGATAACACCAAACATGATATAATTAAAACTGTGCAGTTAACAAGCACTGCAACAAATAAGAGTTTTTACCATATATTCTTAATTTTCTAGACCAGGAGTAAAGTTTTTTGGAGATTCTGACTCCAATGCTCAATAAAAATATACTAAGGGCCTTGCTCTGTAACAAAAATAAATCAAAGACAGCACAGAGAATTTAATTAAGAAATTTTCATTTTCCCTTGCATCTGCACGGTGCTGAAGAAGTGAAAAGTCAGACACTATTTAATCTCAAGCTATAGAAGCTGTGTGTCATTATGATGCGTCTATCTGTGAGGTTATCGATGTGATTGTATCCATTGTTTCCTCCAGCATAGTGTGGCAATGTGCTACATGGAATCCAAATATGGAATGTAGCTGTCAAATACAGGAACAGGAGTCCTTTAGAGTCCTAGACAGTATCAACTATGAAGTAATGCATTGACTAGTAGTCAAGTGCTTGAATACTTAATTTAATCCAAAGTAGACATGAAGTAATACAACAATTATCACTGTAAGTTTACACTAAATCAAGTTATCACCCTGTTATCTATCTTAAGTTTTTTTCTCACATGTCATAGGCTGACATGCGCTGTTCATCCCATCTATTAAAGTAAGTTTGAGGTTTGGTTTGATTTATTCGATTACAGCTAAAGGCCAGTTTACATCTGTCAAAGCAGCTCGTAGCGAGCCGCTCGTCCGGGCGTTTCGAACCGAGTGAACGGACCTGTACTCTGATAGATTGTTTACACCAATCAGAGTGGACTGACAACTCGCCTCCGTTTGTTTACGAAATGGATACCAACGTCGCAGCTGCAGGAAAGAACATGCATTGAACATACATACATAGATGTTCTTTGGCTGCAGTGCTTGAAGTCTGCGAAGCAGTTTCAAACGAATTAATTTCTCTCTTGGGAGGGAAAAAAAAAAAAAAAAGGAAATTGGTACGTGACTGGGTAGCTTGCCGCGATGAATTAGGAGTATCAAATGAACTATTAAATGAATTTCGGACGAGAATGTCCAAAGTTACAAAAATGTTATTGCATATCAGATACAAGAATTTAAAAGAAACTCAGTTTGAGAGAAGTTATTTAGTCAACTGTAGTTTTTTATTAACAAGTTTTTATAATTATTACATATTTTACAATAATTTAATAATGTTTTTTTATTAATAAAAAACGGATATTTAATAGAAGATTAGAATTCATCTAGCATAATTTGTATTTAAAAACCTTAATACACCTTCAGTACTTGCACTCACACATTCAAGCTGAACATGTTTCACATCCAAGCTGAATTGTAACGAATTATAGCGCAGAATGTTTTTATACAAAGCAAGAAATTTAAATATCCCCAATAAAACAGATCTACATATCTTTTTCATAATCCCATTTTTATTTTTATAGTTTATAATATCATATTTATTGCATCCTCATGTAGGGATGCTTGTAGAAAAATGAATATAAGCTCACATAATTATAGAAGTAAAACACTTTAAAATGCATATGCATTAAAAAATGCCATGGTTTAGCAATCGCTTAATCTCGGCATTATAGAACTCACTGTCACAACGTCCCTGCGAACGCTGCTTGGAGTAACTGCCTGGAGAGATTTTTCAACAGGTTCAAAGTAGAAACGGAAGCGCTGACTCATCTCCCCTACGTTTCTACTCTATCGAAGTGAGCGTTTACATTGTCAAAGTAATCATAAGGAGCGACTCGCTCCAAGCCACTCTGACAGGTGTAAACTGATCTTAAGTACTCAAGGGCTATCTGCCTAAGGGGAGGGATGCCTTCGTGTGCAAGGGAAACTGGCTTGAGTATATGCTACTCATGGGCAAAAACTCAAAAATGCTCATGCAGCCCTTTCGCAGGATTCAAACCTTGGACAAAATCAGTGAATTTACCGGTTCGCCCAAGTAAGTTCAATGAAAGCACCCATTAAAAATTATGTTTCAATTACATCCCCTATGCTCCTTTGGTTGGCTATTACATTTTAACTCTCAACACTCCAAAAACAATAATTCATTACTGACAAAAGTATAAGCTAAATTACCATTGCATTTAATGAAAACTGCATTTTGCGTTTATGTTTTAAACCAAAATATATTAAGAAAAGATGAAGTTAAATATTTTAATGTAGGAATCAAGCATTTTTTTTAAATACACCTGTATTTAGTTTGATAGATATCAACAGTTCCAAAAAGTATATTCATGATGTTTGTCTGACAGTTTTTTTTTTTTTTTTTTCTTCTTCTTCTTTTTTCTTTTGTTGATAACACTTCTTGAAAGGGGGAAAAAAAAGACTCAGAAAAATACCAGCTTCCAAAAGTGTTGCCATGAATGTAGAATATTCATGAAGCACTAGAAAATTTTCTTAAAAAGGTACACTTATAAAATTTAATTAAAACAAATTTTTTTTCTACTGAATATTCAGCTTCTGTGCATTCTATTTGCAATTGCATTTGGATGTTTATTCAAGTGACAATGGAGTGGCAAATACCGCTTCTTGAAATCGAATATCCAGTTATGAATAAAATCTAAATTAATGCTGCATACTTTTTGCTCATCACATGAAATGCCCAGAGTAAATTCCATTTTCCCGTTAATGCAAGACTCCCATTTTCAATTTAAGTTCAAATGTTGTCATTCTTTGAAACATCATTTAGTAATTGCTAGGGCCTTAAAACTATGTGTTCAATTGATTTAAGCAAGTGCCCATAATTATTAAAATCATCCAATTAAAATTTTCAAAATTCAAGATCATTTTCCTCATTTCTCAGTTATACTTGAAATTTGTTGTATCACCACGTTCTCAGGACCAGATGCCCATATTACAACCCCTTACCCCATATTACAAAATTGCATGCTTTTTTCCGTTCTATAACTAAAAATCTTTAGAAAGAAATGTTTCACATTTGACAACAAAATTCATACAGATACAATGACAACACTTTGCATGCTTTTCCAAAATGACTTCCGCCATGTGTTTCTAATCATTCTTTCTGTAAAGATGGCATTTAAAGTTACTTTTCCATAGCCCAAAAATTAAATAATATCCCTCTGAAGAAAACTGCACATGCTTACATATTTAAAAACAGTAATAAATGATAGATAATGAATCAGAAATAAGCCTTCAAAGAGATTATGATGTTCTCAAAAATATTCAAGTTTTTGCAGCAATATTAACAGTATTATGAACATGTATTTTACGTAAAATTCAATATGGTATAATTATAACACTCGGGTGGAAAAAATTAAGGGAACAACTATAAAAACTCATGTACACTGAATGATTTTGAAAATAAAAACTTGGCAGTTGTACATTTTTACCATGACTTATTTTTAAATGCAGAACTGCCTATTTCTAAAAAAAAAAAAAAAAAAGGAAATGTAGTGCACAGTGAAACACAAAAGAGTTGATACTACAACTTATTAGAAATACATAGAAAAAATTAATAAGGTTTGTAGTCATCCATGGCCGAAATACCAGCTTTACAGTAATTTTCCATGCTGTATATTAGATTCAAAAGAAGTTCCTGACATAACAAAGTGTATTCATGATGAATAAACAGTGCCTTAAAGCTGCTGGAGGTTACTAGACAGGAGCTGCAGTGATGCAAATCAGTTTTTCTTACTGTGTTTCACACATGTTCTATGGGATTCAAATCTAGGAAATATGTAGGTTTCTCCATCCACCAAATTCCTTCCCCCCCCAAGTCAATTGGTCACTAGAGCAGCATAGTGGGGATAAGTATTATTGTAAATTCGGAAAAAGTAGCTAACAACTGCACTAAAAAACATAGCATACATACGAAAAACCTCATCTCTGAATATTTCAGATTTCATGATAGCACTGTTAAAAATGCGTATCTTAACGAGATCAATCAAAAGTATGTCTGCTCATACCATGATTCTAGGACCTTTTACACAAGTTCTTTCATGGATTTTTTCAGGCTTATATAGCATGTTTTGCTACATCTAGACTGTAACAATTTTGGAATCAAGCACTAAACAAAAGCAAGAATCATCAGCAAAGAGAACTCAGCTCAAGTCTGTGGACTCCAATCATGATGATCTCGGCAACTGGGTTCATTTTGCAGCCATCGTTAGTGGGACATAAATACCAGGTTTATTTGTGTACAGTCTTCTTTTATGCAGCCTGACACTTGCAATATATTTGGATAGTGAAGTTCCTGCAGCAGCAGTGAACTCCCTAGCAATCTGGGTTGGCTTAAGTTCTCTAATTCTTTTAGCAAATGTTGCCAAATATAGTCCTGAAAATCAACTGTGGCACATTTCCGACCTTGATCTGACTATCTGTATGCATCAAAAGCATCTTTACACCATTTTCAGATTCTTGACATGATGTTTCTGGCTTAATTTAGGGCTTTACCGAACTGTATCAGTGTCTGTCATGTTTCATTCTCCCAATCACATACTATGTCTCGCAATCCGTCAAATACCTTCTCAACCCCACACTCCACCTTTCACAGACGAAAATGTTATCCAGCTACGCATGCAATCCTTGAAATTAGAATCTGAAGCATCCCTTTGCAGTCCCTTCCACATGTGTCAAAAGAGCACGTAAAAATGTTTTACAAAAATAAATACTTGATAACACTGAGCTACCAACCATTTTTCATTGGACTTCAAATTAATATAAAGAGCCTTTTTATAGCTGTTCGTTAAATGTTTTCCATTTATGTATTTAAATTCTCATAATGCACACCACATATTATTAAAAAATATAAAAATTCATTTGAAAGAAATTTTAATATCATAAAATTGTATAAAAGGCAAAAATTTAATACATCTAGAGTTTCAACATTTGTTCTTTTCTCAAAAGGAAAACAATATGCATTAAAAGACATGACAAATTTAAATTTCAAAGCATTCATTTGGATACAATTTTCAGAAAGAATACTTTCATTGCAAATACAACAGACAAATTATAATCAACTAACACAAATTTCACAGAATTGGAAAGAACAATAAGCACCAGGTCAAAATGCATTTTGACATCAAATTATTCTACAAAGAAACATACACTAACATAAATATCATTATATGATTATTGATGAATTCAGTTTTTGGACCTAATAATATTTCAAACAAATTCAGCTTGATAAACCACTTTGATGATGATGGAACAGTCAAAATCAATATTTAATTATTTGCAGTTCAAGGAATCAAAACTGTAAAAAGAACAAAAGTTAATAAAAAATTTACATGTATTTAAAACAAACAAAATATATTTAATATATTAAAAACAAAATTTCATCAAAAATATGTAAAATATAAAAAATTAATAAAAAGCTATCATCATCTTTAATATTAAAAATAATTAATATTTTACTTTCAGAACAGTAAAAAGTAATTTTTTTTAATTCACATTCCCAGGCTCTTTTTCCTCACAAGAGATTGTCATATTTTTGTAGAAGTATTTATGGCCAATTGTAGGAATATTTATGGCCCATCTACATGAGGAGATGTATCTCTGTTACAGATTTAAGTCTCCCTCGAAGACATGTCTTCTGACAGCATTCTATCCATACAGGGAAATCTTGTACTGCCATTATTGTTTTAGGCATGTCATTTCCATATGCAATTTTATGGCTATCACCAAATATGGGTTTAGTGACAATGTATCTTATCATGCACAATGATCACAACTCCAGTGCAGGTGTTACAGACATACATATATCTGATGCACCAGATGTTTTTACTGCTTTTACTTTTGCTGTCTGTGTATACACACAGACAGGCAGCAAAATTAAATGTAAAAGTGTATGATAATTTTTTCATCCCCAATGACTATTATGTGAAAAAAAAAATTTTATTTTCTGGACTTAGCTCTCTACATTCATATAAAGTGTTGATTAGATTTGCGGTAAAATTGGATGAATGAGGTATTTTACAGGAAGCCAATACTAGTCTTTAAATGATATTTGGAAGTGATATTTTACTTGAACGCAATAATAGTTTTTAATGAAAACTATATATTTTTAATAAAAACTATATTGAAATATAACAAAAATTTTCTTTTTTAGTATTCAATATTTTTATATCAATGGGAATGACATATTAGACTTGGCTAAAATAGACAAGCTAAAAATGAGACTTTACTTGAAGCTCTGAAAAGAAGTTCGTAAAAAAAATATACATTATCAGATGATCCAAAACTCAAATTTGATATTTAAAATAGGTATGTGATTGAAAACAACATTTATAAGCATTAAATACATAGCTGGCCATTAAAATTGGAATGTAATGAAGGAAAGCAAATACAAAAAAGAAAATTATTGCATATAAACAGTATGGCTTGAAGACAAAATGATTAAATTTGTAAGCATTTTAGAGGTTTACAAGGGTGTGAAATTAGCAGAAACAGCTGCTATCCCTGGCAGCTAAAACGGTCCCTTACCCCATTAGGCATCAAACTGAATTTGGATGACAGAAATGGGTAATTCATTCCATAATGCTTCAAGTCTTATGTCACACTTCCTCAACTGTATTAGCTGGAGAGGGGTGATGGGCCATTCTCTCGGCAACCCATGGCCAGATGTTTTCAATGAGTGACAGATCTGGAGACCGTGCAGGCCAGGGCAGCAATCGAATAACCTGTGTATCGCGGGAGGTATTATCTTGTTGGAACATGGAGTTTGGAGACCTCGAAGATAGGGCACAAGCACTGGATATAAGATATCAGAAATGTGCCCCTCTGCATTCAAATTACAGTCGATCCAAACTAGAGATGTGTGTGTTGTACACCCAATGGCTGCTCAAACCATCACACCAGGTGCAGGACCCCTATGTCGATATCAAATTCAAGCAGGTGACATGCATCTCCTCGGACACTTCAGACACGTATACAGCCATTACGTAGAACTGGGACTCATTTGAAAAGGTGGTATTATGCAACTCCTGCACCCAGCTTTGTCGTTTGACACAGTAGAGTCCCCGTCTCTCTTTATGCTACATTGTCATGGGAAGGCGAAGCAATGGTCACCCTGCTGATAGTCCACGCTGCTGCAAACATCGATAGACCTTACGAGTTGATAATGGGCGTGGTGCAAACACGCCCATTTCCTCACTAATGGTCTGACTAATGGTTTCCTGACTCTGGTCATACAGTTTTGCAGGGCTGATTTCACAATATGTCTGTCCTCTCTGGTGTTAGTCATGCGAGGGTGTTGAGATCCTACATGCCATTCAGTATGACCCTCAACAATCCATTGATTCCATATTCGCATGACAGTGGTTGTACGTCGAACAGTGCGACCAGCGATATCATAGAACGATAATCTACAGTTTCGATAGGCAATGATCCTACCTCTATTGAATTTTGAAACTTGCTGTTAAGTATTTTCTCTTCTTAATTCGAGGCATAACATGAGCAAACTCCAACCTTACAAAGCACTTTCCGAATGAGAAATCCTACCCCAGAACAGATAGTTTTTTTTAAAAAAATTTTGTTGCGATAGAACAAAAAGCAGCAAAATGTGTCTTAGGGAGAATGGAGGTGGAAGCAGAGTGTGCAATTGTTCAATATGGCAGCTTATTAAAAGACAGTTTCGATTCTTAAAAGTTTTTTAGCTAAATTCCAAATCAGCTATGCCATTAGTATTATGTAAGCCATATGTATGGATTGATCTAGAAATGAATAGAACGGAGATATACTCAAACTAAAATTAAGCACTAATGGGCTATTGTTAATTTAAATTATAATATATATTTACATATTTTTAATCTTCTCTTACATATTCCTTCCCTTGAGAAGAAGAAAAAGAGAAAAAGTGTAAAAACAGAAGCAAATTAGAAAAAAATACAAATCATAATATTTTGACTTGCATAACTATTTAAACAGGGTTCATAGCCACATTTCAGTTAAAAAAATAAGCACCTATAAGCACTTTTCAAGCACATTTTAAGAAAAAAAATAAGCACCTGTCTAATTACATTATACACAACTGCATAACTTTAAAAATTAGATTCGTAATTTAAAATATGAGAAATGCAGTATTTATTAAGAGAGAATAAGCATTACCTCAACCATGGAAAATAATTACTTTTTTTTTTAATTTTAAATAACAGTTCAATTTGCAGAACTAGTTTACAATGAGAGAAAAAAAAACTATGCAGAACTAAACTATACTACAAGATTTAATGATGAAATTTCAGTTCAAAATAGAGGAAATAAATAATAAGGCATATTTATTCTATTCGCTTGGAACTTAATAATAAATACAATTTATTTTTCCACTCATATTGATATTTAACTAATTTAAATCTGAATTCTGAACATTTCCTAAATTTTCATTGTATATCAGTTTTCCCTTAACAGATATTGCAAGCAAAGTAATTTAAGTAAAAAAGAGGAACATTTCTGAAATCGGAAGACAGAAATTTGCTTCATGCAGTCATCATCCTTTAACAGTAAAAGCTTAACTACCCTGCATACTTGAAAATTGGCGAATATTCGGACAGTTCGAAGTGTAATTTGAAAAAGAGGAGCGGAGGGGGGATAGACTGCAGCCGTTCTTTGGTATTTTTCCGCTAAATAAATGCTTTTTTTTACATTTCGATATGTGCATCAAATAAAAACAAACCAACGGAACAGAAAAATATTCTGCTTAGCAAGCACAGTAAAACTCTTTCAAGTGTTCATAAACAAATTTTGGACCGAAAATCAAAATTATTTATCTCTGCACAATATCGCAACGTTATTATTGGATGTGCACCGTAATTCTTCCCTAGCATGATATTATGCAATCGGATTCAACAGCCTGTCGGTATTGGGAGAATAAAGAACTAAATAAAGGAAAAAAAGACTTACAATCTGGGGGTGTTTTTCATTCTAATTTTCAACAGACTGCGTTAAATTTCCGGAATAGAATCATTCTTCGCTTGGGTTGGTAGACCGCAGAACTTTTAGTCCTATCCTATTGGAAAGTGATGAAAAAAAAAAAAAAAAGAGGTCCGTTGTTTGTTTTGCAGCGAACTGTAACAGTTTCAATTTTCGAGATTTTGCAGAGAAAGGGGAGAACCTCCCAACCTTCGTACTGTATAATGTGTTGGCCAAAAAAATTAAATTATTTTCACTATTCGATTACTTTCCTTTTATTTAAGCCATTCCAAATATTATTAATTAGAAAGCTGAGTTAAAACACAACAATTTTTGGAAGCTTACTATATTTCAGCAGTTACTGCAACTATGTTATTATAAACATTCATACATATGCTCATAATATAAGCATAACGATCATAATAAACACGAATATGAACTGACCAAGCGGAACGAGAATGCAAATTATTAAGATCTTGATAGAAATTCAAATGTGTGTAATATTTGGGTGGGAGTGAAAGAATACCGAATGTATTGGAATTTTCTACTGCTTTCGCAATTCTTTGACCAACAGAAGACGGGCACCTGTCTGTACTCTCCGCGCACACCAAAGGTTATGTTAATACAGAGAAAGGGGGAAAAGCTATTTCCAGGAGAATGATTCACCATCTGACGTTCCATATTAGGAAGAAAAGTTGTTTATTTAGTTTCGGCTTTGGTACGGGAAAAAATTGCGCGTTCATTAAAAAAAAAAGCACTAAAAGCAAAAAGTAAGCACTAAAAACAAAGGCTTTAAAGAAAAAGTAAAAACCTATAAGGGCCTTTATATTTTATTTTCAAATATAAGGACTTATAAGGACCGCTACGAACCCTGTTAAAGAACTGCAAAATATAAACTTTGATAATGTTTTAGAATCGTACTAAATTTTCCAGTTAAAAAGTCTGTTTTTTAAAGTCCATATAATCCAAATTCAGAGCAATTTTAACCATTTGACTGCTACGCGGCGCAAAAGCACTGCGTTCATTTGTCTCGAAAACCGCGACGCAGCGCCTCAGTGTGTCTTTGTTGCTCCGTGGGTGTGAATGTATGTAGTCTGACCTCACACATACTTTGTAACATGAGTGCATTCTAAAATAACTAACTGTGTCGCGGTTTTTGAGACAAAGGAACGCAGCGCTTTTCCGCTGTGTAGCAGTCTAAAACTTTCAAACTGAACTCGAAATTTAATTTACTAAGTATATCATATTTTGTTCTAATATTTCTAAATTACATTTTTATGTGTTTTTATACATTGAGATATGAGAAAGTTCATGAACCAAACAAGAAGGGCATAATGAAAACCTAAAAGCTATGTTCTTGAAGCCATTCATTTGCTTTCTTATACATACTCTACAAAATTTCTCTTCTTTTGCTAATGGCCTAATGCTCTTTCTCAAACAGTTTTTCTATTGCCAAGCCTTTTTCTCCTTGAAGGGGGGAATATGTAAGATATAAAATATAAGACACAAGTACAACAAATTTACTAACTTTAGCAATAGTCCTTTTAATTTCTATTAAGTACATCCCTTTTAAAAATTCGTACTGCACCATTTATGTCATCATTTTATCTGCAATGCTGTGAGCTTATATCCAATCAACACACAATGCTGAAACAAAGGAACTGAGCTTATAAATACTTCAGCTGCTTTATATGCACTTCCTTTTCCCATTACTGTTGTTTTGCCACATAATTAATCACTAGGCAGTTTAATCTATCATCTAAAAATGTAATTTGTTTTATATAATATTGTAGATGCAGATTGCACGCATTGCATTATGCTAATCAAGAGGCTATTTCTTAACAGATTAGTCGCCAAATAATAAAGAAATGTTGTTATCCAGCTACCTGTAGTTTTCTTCTAAATTGCATCTAGTTGAGATGCCATCAACATGTTCGACACTTTTATCACCACTCTAACCATGACTAGAGTTTATTGGGGTCTTTTCTCATCATATACCATCAAAAATATCATACATATATATATTATTTCAAATTTAATTCGTTTAAAATTTATACATATATATATATATATATATATGTTACTATTCTGCTCAGAAAATAGTATTCAGAATACAATAATTCATTACAACTATGAATTTTACATTATCAGTATCATTTAATTTGGTTATATTAAGTCATAAATATATTTTTTCCCTCTTTGTCTGATAAAGTATTCAATACATTAAAATAGACATCAAGCAATTATTGTGCAAAAGAATGATCATTTTGTTTCTGTAATCTGATTGTGGCCATACTATATAACCACAGTTGATTGTGCCCTGTTCTGTCAGTTTATTATTAAATCTATTAAAAAAGATCAAAGCAATTAATAAACACTCTCAAATAAATTACCTAAATTATTAATTAATTTTAGAGTACGTTAAAAATATTTTGTTTCCACCACTTTTGCACAGACGCCTATCCAATCTCAATTTGGATTATTACTGCTCTTGATGTAGTAATGGAAGAAACACTGGAACTAGTATGGTAAGAATTTTACTACCATATAGATGTAGCTCATGGGGAACAGACTGAATGATAGAATTGTAAGAAGTAAATTACATCCAACAGGGAGGGAAATCCAAGACTAGTATTTATATTGCAAGGAAAATTGCAAAATTTCATGCAACCATAGATATATTAATGCTAACAGATGAAGAACATTAATATCTCCAAGAAAATATTTTTGATTCCAAAAACAGACATGAGAATGGCAAGAAGTTCTTTGATATGTGCTTAATTTGAAGTTTATACTGCAGTTGGGAATCATTATTTCGAATTATTTATTGCACATAAAACAATGAAATCTGGTTTTATTTTTCATTTTGATAGTTTCCTTCAAGCTGAAATTTTGCATCACTTACAGTCATACCCACCATTTTTAAAAAGAACACAGAATAACTTCTGATAAGTATTTATCACAAGCAAGAGTTTCAGTAATGATAGTTTGAGAATTTACAATAAGTATTAATGATATTTTACACCTTTTCTCCCCATTCCGAGCCAAATATTTAAAGTAAATATTATGCTGGCTCTCTTAAAATTGGAAATTGATGTGCACGTAAGCAGTAATAGAGTTAGTTTTCTTCTTTCCTCCAAGGTATTCATGAGATAACAGCCAACCCTACATGCAGGTACAATACATGTCCTTCAGTACATGTATATGGTATGCACACAGATTTGTGTACTTTCTGTTAACTACACAATATCTACTGGTGCCGCCTAGCAGGTATAGTGGTTAGCGTCACTGACTGCTTTGCGAAGGGCCTGGGTTTAAACCCTGGACAAGGCATCAATGTTTGTAAATGTATAGTGTCAGTATGGCATGGCTGCACTCTAAATATGTAGTGAGCCGAAAGGGTAAAAGTATATTTAAGGGTACCCCTTGGCAAAACTTGGCGGTACATGAATACCAAGTTTGTGCAATTTTTTGACTTTTTATTTTGGTTTGTGTAGCGGCGATTTTTGGACTTTATCCATGTACAAATCGACCTATTTTCACTTAAAAAACATCAGAGAACTGCACAAACTAGGCTATGTGCACTACCTTTGTCCATGTACACATCGAACTATATTCACTTAAAAAGTCAAAGGAGCAGCCAACAAAAAAATATATATATATATATAATCTCAATAAACTAAATTTCAAATCAAACAATGAAATAACGTAAAAGAAATGAAATTCATCTTTTCACTACACAAAGGAACTAATCACTTAACTCATTTACAAAATAACACGTCTTCAGTCAAACAAAGTTCCTTAACAGCATCCAAAAACTTCCTAAAATTATCTGAACTAGAATCTGTACACTGGCATCGCCACATAAATTCACAAAATAAGAGTAAAAAATATCCTCCGTAATGACATTCGACAGTACGCATCTCTGACATTCGACCATACGCATTTCCTTCCTACAAACAGGACACCTAATAATGACTACTAAGTAAACCTTCACACACCAGTCAAGTAATGTTCTTTTCCCCTTTCTTTCCAAATCGTACAGAAACTTCAAATTAATCTTACAACATTCAGCCATTTTACTGTCTAAACCAGAAAATAAACAATATACAGTCAAAAGTCGTTAATTCGGACACCCATAATCCGGACCTCAAAGCTAAAAACTTTCTGCGCATGCGCCGCGTTGGCACACGCGCACAGGCGTTTTACGCGTGCGCGTAAGACCTTGACTACTGCGCATATGCGTGTGCGCAAGTGCAGAATACGTTTTGCCTGCGCGTTTAATGTATAACGGACGGCGTAAGCTAAAATTATCTAATTATCTATTTCAGTTAAGGTTAATGATTGCGTTGTTCCTTAATCTTCGATTTGGATCCCGCTTATTATTTTTTGAAGACTGTAAGAGCAATTTTATAAAAGTAAACTTGAACTTTCGATTATGTCAAATAGAATTTCCGATGCTGGAACTTCCAAAGGATCTACAAAACGAAAGTATGTTTTGATGTCCAACAAACAAAAAGTGGAATTACTGCAAAAAATGGATAAAGACATGAAGAATGCGACAGAGAGGTTAGTGAAAACGAAAAAATTTCGATTGACAAGTTAATCGGTATTCTCTGCACAGCAATTAACGAGACTTGAACAGCGGAACTTTGTAACTGAACAAGAAATTATGTCTTTTTATAGAATTAAAGAGAAAGTATTATCACATAAAATGAAGCAACTTAAACAACTTACATTGAGAGAAATGTTTAATAAAGTAAACAAATAAATATTAAGCTTTTTTTCTTTTTGTAAATTTTGATATCCTTTAGATCATAATTGTTCTTTATTTCATAAATTACGGTTTCATATTTTTAATTTTAGAATTTCTGCATGCCATCTTACGAGATTTAAACTGATGATCTATAATCCGGAATCGCCGAAGTCCCGACAAGTCCGGATTAATGACTTTTGACTGTACTTCCTAACCAACACACACACCACAAGCCCTTACGAATTTACCGCAATCATGCAACCAATTACATCGTTATAGGGTTTCCATAACATTCAAATACTCAGGCTACCATAAATGAAACAACAACTTTGTGATAATACAAGGGGTACCCTTCTCTCTACTCTAACTGCTGAATGTCCTCTTAAGTCGTTTGGTGGAAGAGGAAAGGGGTGGGAGACCCTTGGACCCATCCCCCCGGAGTGCTCTTCAGCAAAATTGAGGATGGAACTGAGCCAAACTGCACTGTCACCTGTTAAGTGCTCAAGGCTGTTGCCAACGGCAAACATAATCTAGCGCTCCTTGCCACAAGAAATTTCATGGGCTTGGATTCTATGCATTCAAATATTTTGAATTGCCAATTTTAATTTGGGGCACTAAATTAAAATAAAAAAATAACAAATGATGTTGTTATGCAAACAATCTGCTTAATTAAAAATAAATTATATAAATAATAAAATAATTCATAATTTTTCTGGAGGAGGGACCACAATTTTTTTTTTTTTTTTTCAATAGTATTCTTCAGTCTTTTAGTAAAATGCTTTAAATATATTTCACATACTTCAATTCATTCAGGAAATCAAAATATTCTTCTAATTTAGGCTAAAATAATTAATACAATGCTTTAAGATTGCTTAATGAGAATCTTATAACCTCACTCAGAAAAGATTATTTTTACACAATCTTTAACCATATTGAGTAAAAATAATCTTTTCATACAGATTACAATTCATATAGATTAAGCATCAATTTATGAATCAACACAAATACTAGTTCAGAAAAGAAAAATTTTTAAAAAGTGTACATACTCGTTTCAAAAATTCCTCAGCACAAATCCTAGCTCTGGCATTTAACGCTAACTTCATTTCACTTATTTCTTTGTCTATTTCTTCCATGAAATGTATTACAAAATCAACTAATTTATGTTTATACATCTGTTCTGTGTGGAAATTTGTTATGAGAAAAGATATATCATAACCCTGAAAGAAAAGATCAATATAATTTCATTGAAATCTTGAACAAAGGATGAAGTTTATATGCAAAAAAGTATCAATACATACATCCACAGGTTTTCGCCGCAAAACAATGAAATTTTCAGCTCTCATCATCATAAACCTCATAAACTTATGACAAAGTATTTTTTCAATTTCATCAGCTTGTTTGACAGCTATACTAATCCTTAATGAATTTATAGAACCTTCAATTAAAACTTTCTCTTTTTCGTTTCGACTGATGACAACAGGTGTAAGTAATAATTCCTTACCACTCCTAAAATATATATAAAAATATTAGCATTACATTATTAAAAAAACTAATACAGAAAAGATTCATTTGTAATGAATAACTAAATTAAATATAATTAAGGTAAAATAACATGCCATGAATAACATTTAGAAGTCCAACAAAAATCGGCGTTATATTTGCAAATTCTCGCAGGACTAGTTTCAATTGTTTTACTGAACCATCATTCTCAACTGCCAAAGTGTGAATGAGCGAGATAAAATAAGAATGGTAGTACAGTAGTTAAGCTACTCGCGCCATCTATTGATGAAACAAAAAAACTAAAACAATCTCCTTAACCCTTTATGACACACCTAAATATTTCCTTCTGTATGCACAGAAATATTGAATGAAAAACGATTTATAGGTTACTCTGAACCTTCTTTATTTATAGTAGATTGCAGCCCAAGACAAATTAGTTCATATATTTTAGCCATGTTTAGTTTTTAAAGACCCTCATTTTTCAAAGAAATCTTCCAGATTTTTTTTAAGGTATAAAAGGAATTGTTTGAAAAGAAATTTCTATGTTATTTTCTTGTCTGTATCCTAATCTCCTTATTCTATACTAGTTTTAAATTTTTACCTCAAAATCTTGACCAAAATCAACAGCGAACATCAGGTGTGCCCAGAGTAAGCTCACTGAGAGACTAGGACAAGAACAAAAAATGTATCTTTGTTTCTCTGCAGCTCATCGGTCAGGTCATTTATAACAGAAAAGGTGGGTCCACATCTGTATTTCATTTCCTGTTTTTGTCTTTCTTCTTTTCATTTTCGGAGGAGAAGTTTGTTTATCAACTAAGAAATTGTTGGGTGATTTCTGAAGGTCAGGAGTAATTTTATGAGTTAGCTGTTTGGTTTTTTACTAGAGCAGTTCTGTTTTTCTCTTTCGCTTTCGTTCAAAGAAGTTTTGTTAGTGTTATGTTTCATAGTTTTGAGTTGTAGACATTTGTTTATAATTTCAAATTGGAGATATAATATTAGTTTATTTTTCAGATTTTTAATTATTTTCCAAATGGATTGGAGAGGGCTGACTATCTCTGAAGCATTCAGTGCTACATGAATTGCTAAACTGCTTTTAGGTAGTGAATCCGATATGGATCCCGGTACATGTGCGAAACATGCAATATTAGGTTAAACTTTTTCAAAGGTAGTGTCACTTTCTACAAAAAGGTCCTATTATGAAAACAAAAAAAAAAAAAAAAAAAAAAAAAGACGAAAGTGTAAACATGAAATGTAAATATCAAATAAAAGTCACTTTTTTTCCATTCATATGCATGTAATCATCATATAACCAAAGAAGAGCTTTTCTAAGGACGCGTAGAGCAGCAGGCCACTCCATGGCACACCCTGGGTAATGCTAAATCTGCTACGGTATTTAGTGGTTTATTTTTTTTTTTATCATAGGCAAAATCTCTTACTCTTTTATGCACTTCCCAGCAATGCCTGCTTCAGCACACTTTTCGAAGCTCTATTCATTTAGTCTGCCCATTTCGGACACTACCACAGAATTAAAACGATAAGTGCTACCTTCACAAAATTTTACCCTGTGTACTCCTCTAGGCCTAATTAGACTGCCTACCTTTTTTTTTTTTTTGGTCAAAATTCCAACTTTAAAAGGTTGTACTGGAAAGGGTTAAAGGCTGAAGGTAAAGTTGAATTGGAATTAGGATCGTTTACTTGAACAGAAAGATGTTTTTTAATATGAAATGCCTCTAGAAAATCTAATTCACCAATGGAAGTTGCTTTTTTGAATAATTTTGACTGCATAAAAATAGAAAGTGTGATTTTTGGACCAACAATACTGGGCAACAGAACACTTCTGTGTTTCCTTTTTCCTAACATATGCCTCATGTTTTTTAACATGAAATTTTAAGGCTCACTTAGTTTGACCAATGTAAACTAAACCACACTGGCAAAGAATCCTGTAAATACCCAAGGAATTCATATCCGGAATGGAGTCGTTATGTGTAGAACTTGGAATTTTATTGATAAGAGAATAAATGACCTGGAAGTTAAATTTTTGTAAAATACATGCAGTTTTATAGCTAATTGATGGAAAGAAAGGAATAACATAATTCTTATAATTTCCTAAAATAAGAGTGTACCTTTTGGTGCGACGAGATGAGAATTTTTTAACTGCTTGTGTAATAATGTTGGGTGAAAAAGACCCTGTCAACAGATACTGCTTTTAAATAATTTAGTTCTTGATCAAGAGCCAATTCGGAGGAGCAAACTTGAACTACACGGAAAACAAAGCTAACTTTTGTTTAGTCGGATGACATGATTTCAAGTGTGAAGAACGGCAAATCAATGAAGGTTTACAGTAAACTGTAGAACTGCAGTTGGATGTATTATTTGTGAACAAAATGTCAAGGAATAGAAGGGAATTGCATTTCTGAAGTTCAAAAGTGAACTGAATAGCAGTCTGTTCAGAATCTTTCTGTTCTAGTTAATGACCCTAATCCAATCCATCTTTACCTTCAGCATTTAAGAAAATTATGTTTTAGTTTTCTTGTTTCATCAACAGATGATGCCAGTAGCTTCACTCCTGTCCTGCAATTCTTATCTTACCTTTTCACTATATCTTATCTCATTCATTTGCACAGCTGCCAAATGGAAGATGAATGCCAAATGGCAGCTGAGGATAAACCAGTCATGTGAAAATTTGCAAATAAAACACTAATTTTTGTTGGACTTCTAAGTTAAATTAAATATATCAGTACAAAATTTGAAACCATTCCTGCAGATTTCAATTTTGTTATTTAAAAACATCTTCAATTTTCTATACATTATCTGGTACTTTTCCATTATGCACATGTCATGCATTTTGGCATGACATATATATCATATATTGCATATATATATATTGTTATATTGCATATATATATTGTATATTATATTGCATATTATATCATTATCAGACAGTTATCTTTTTTCTCCCACTCCTTTTCTGTGTATACATGGAACATGGCAACCTGTTTTAAGTTTAAAAAAAAAAAAAATCAGAATATTGCATAAACTTGGAAAAAGTGATTATCACAATTACCTAAGAACAGCTGGTAAACTTCTTTCTTGCTACTCTCCCATGTGCACATTGAACTGTTTTAATTTAAAATAATATCAGAGACTTGCACTAATTCAGAAAAATCTATTATCACAATCATCTAAGAACAGCAGATAAAAAACAAGTGGAATTCTGCCCTAGTGTAATGCATACATTTGTAATCATTTGCCGTTTGTCATAAGAATACTTTCTTGTAAAATTCTGGGCTGCCTACTTTGATGACATAACATGTTGCCCAGCAATTCTCTTAAGGGTTGGACAGAAAAGTATCATCTGATGTTCAGTGTGCAAAATGCCAAAGCTGTGCAATCTTCTGACAATTTTCAAGCAAAAACGGCTATGCACATAAGATGGCTATGCACATACAAAACAACAGTAATGTATCAAATATTATGTATAATGTTTCATGTAATATTCCAAAATTTTAAATTTACATTCTATTGATGGTAAATTGTATTTTTGATAACCATATTTGTATTTTACACTATGTTTTCTATTTTTATTTTTTTAAACATTGATAATGTTTTTTTCTGTTATCAGGACCAAATTCAGAAATGTATGTATGTATTTATGTTTGTATATATATATGACGTAGACACATATTTCTGAATACGGTCCCAATAACAGTAAAGTACCTAAATATCACAGTTTTACAACCTTTTTTGAAAAACATTGAACTTGCCTTTTATAAGTAACTTTAAACCAATTTTAAGAAATATAACAATCATACCTAAGGTGCATTATTTTAATATGTCTGAGAACCATGCTGTTAACTAACTAAACTGCTAACATCATACACACAGTGAGAGATAATTGTTTTTGATGTGTTTGATATCAGATGCCTTATAAAATTATATTTCTCTTAAAGGGCAACTATTCTAAGAATGACCTTGTTAACATCTGAAGAATGAATACCAAATTCTTGTAGTGTCCTTTGACACTCTTAGTTCTTGTTATTTTGTAATAAATTAAAGGTATTCTTCTATTCTCCTTTGACACTTTTGATTCTTGTTATTCTGCAATAGATTAATTCTCTGACTGGCAAGTCAAAAATACAACCACGTATAACAGGACAAACGCTATCTCAAATAATACAAATATGAATTCCATACCACATCTAATATTAGCAGGAAGTTTCCTCCATCATTTCTTAAGCATTAACACTAAATAATATTTTTAAAAGGTTTACTTGATTATGAAAAATAAATTAAAAACACTACCTCACTTCTACTTCTGGCTTATTATGTCTTTCCACAACCTGAGAAGAAAAATTTTCCAAACACATAGCAGCATTGAGTGTATGTCTCACCGCAGTGAGATATGGTCTTAAAGTTGCAGACTATAAATGGAAAAGAAAAGGTATAGGTTATACATACATATTACCTATATTAAAATATAATTTACAACTTACTATGTCAAAAGTACATTCATATATGTGTGCATTTTGAATGAAATATGAGAAAATACGTATTCATATACAATATGCGCATAACCAACGAACCCTTGTTGCAATTAAAATATGGTTATATTCAGCATTTTTCACCAAAATTATATTAATTCATTTACAAATTCCGAAATCTTACCATCGCAACACCTCTTATACTTCCGCTCCTAAAGTTTACTATTTCATTATGTTGCCAAATATTTAATAAAACTTTTCCCATTTGAAAATTCCCTAAATCAACTTTTTTAGGGAAAAGCCCAATCATTTTCGCATTTTAAAAAAGAAAAACATTCCGGTGATATAATATTTTGCTGAAAACGTAGGTGAAAAGATGAAGCTCCTAATTAATGAACAGTTAAAATGAGTGAAAGCAAAATTCTGCCATTTTAGAAAATGAGATTTTATTTTTGTTCAATAAAAATTCAGATTTCTCATATATCATGACGGAGATAATCATATTTTATTCATTCAACAAATGAAGCCTGACTCAATTTTGATTTTCTGTTGATAGATAGTTCTTTCAATTTGGGTTATAGTATCACAAGATTTTGGATATTTTGACCGTGAATTTATTTTGCCCCTTTGCCCATTTTCTTCAGTCAAGAGGAGTAAAATGAAATTTCTTTAATTAATTAATTTCTTTAATCTCTTTAATTAAGATGACATATCTGAAGGCGGAAGCCCTCTCTGCACAAAAATGGTGCGTTTATTTATTTAACAAGAAGGTTTCTATTCCTCATTATTGAAGATAATCATGTTTGGCAAATTGTTATTCAGAAGCCAACAACAACCTGACTTCATATTTAGTATACATGCATGACTTTATATATAAGCAGACTATCCATGCCTACCAGACTAGCACAAAACGCTGGTAAATGTCCCATTTACATTAGAGTGTTACGCACACACGCATCTTTCGAATCTGATATTCAATAAAAAAGGAGAAGAAAATTGCAGCTTCAGAAGAGATAATATGGTCAGCGAGTACGAAGTCTACTATATACACAAAGCAAAAATACAAAAAGCTTATAATCAAAATTTACATTTCAAATTAACCCGGCAGCTTCCAGTCGCATTTTCTACAATCTTTAATCAGCGAGCGGCAACTAATCCCGTAGCTTAAAAATTTCTGCTGGCATCTCCATATTCAGATATTGTTCGGAGAACAGCCAAAAAACAAATAAATAAAAATCGTGTTGCCACACATCTTGCAAAATACAAATGGGAAATATAATCATAAATTAAAAGTTATTTGCAACATACCCCACGCGTTATGCACAGGATCCGACTTATGCCCAGGGGCCTGTTCTCAGGTGCGGCACCTGAGCCCTTAGCTCTAAAACGACAGTCAGAGACTTAAACGGCAGCTACCCAGCTAACGGAAAAATTTCCGACCCTTCGATCTCTGTAATGATCGAGACGATGACACCAGACTCGCTCTTTGTCGAGTAGATCACAAAAAACGACCCTTACTTCCATCTTGACGGTGTCCAGATTTGGACCCTAAGGCTAACGCTCCTACATACCTAGAGGAGCCTTACCTAAGGCTGGATGAATAGCCATGGAAAGTAAACTCTGTGCATACTTTTTCTCCCTTCAGTTTGACGTAGCCACTCTTGCTTTGGGGAAATTTGCCTTAGACTGTCCTAAGACTTAATATAAATTAATGTTTATAACTGGTGGACATACGTTCTGAGTATCAAGAGATGTATAAGGTGTATATATCATACTATGAAATCATTTCAAAATAAATTTAAAATAGATTTTAATTGCTTCACATTTTGCGGAAGTAAAGCGTGAAAAATATGCGTATTGATCAATACGTGAGCAACTTGAGCGATTCCTTTCTAACAGTTGGCTACAGTTTAATGGACGGAAGTAAGGTCACGTGATTTAAATTTCGTTAGCGAAGTCTTTAATGGCGCCAACGTTATGATCCGAACGTTCTAAAATGTGTATCCCTATCATGTGTTATTAAGCATCAGTGTTAAAAAGATCATCTAAATTGATAATAATAATCACTTAAACTGTCTTCATACTTTTCGCTTCGATAATGATGTGATCGGGATGTTAATCCTGTATCTTGTTCAAACAAATATGGAGGCGCCCTCTTTACAGAAGATCCAGGAAAGCGTTGCAGAGTTTGTACGTTTCATCCGACATATTTACTATAATTATTATTTCGGGTTTCACATTTCCTATACAGTTAACAGTAAATGATGTTCTTAATTTATAAAATTTCTCATATCTGTGGTTATTAAACATTAATATTGGTAAATGAAACAAGGAAACACTGACCTCTCATTATTTCTGTACGTGAACTTTACTCGTATAACATCAGTTGCTAAATAACGATTTGTTCATCATACTGAATGAATATGTCATCTGCTACTACATAGTTTCTGTGTGATTGTACTTATAAACAGTAGTATTATTTAATAAACAGTATGTTTTCTTTTTCTAGTTAAGCACATCTATCAGTCATAATTTACTGCTTTTTGAAACGATAATTTTTTTTCTTTTAATAGATATTCATATTAAGATTCCTGAAGTGTCTATAAATACAGATCACAATGAAGAGACCTCCACCAAGCTCCGATTTTGAAGGAGGTAATCATTTGAATATTTTCTTATTTCTCTTAGCCCATTTTATTTTCTCACGAAGTCGGATTGTTTCTCATATTTTAATGCAATTAACTGAAAGAAAAGATTATAATGCTCTGTAAAACTTACTTATTCATTGCATAATACAAAACTTCCTGTCAAAAATTTTTACCTTTTTTTTATATTCTCTTTATATTAACTGATGTGTATTATAGTTGTCAATAAAGACATTACAATATAAATGAGGAGTTAACAATATATATGCTTATCAGTAATATGTAAGCTATAAGCTGAAGAAAGTTATACATAAGATTTAAACATATCAAGAGTAGTAGTATTTATTCATACTGCTGATTGCTGTAAGAGAACATTATTCATATGATACTGTTGTTTAGAAATAACATTCTTTTAATTTGAATGGCTGTGATATGTAGAAAATTGCATTGGATTACTCCATATTGATGAATGCACTGCACTATTATCTATTAATTGTATTCTTAAGTATTAAGAAGCAAGATCAAGACTAATGGCTTAGTGGCCAAAATGTGACATTTGTTTAAATAAAACATAGGATTACTCCTGGTATGGTTTAGTGTTAGTAGAAATTTCTGCATATAGTTCAAGAAGTATACTAAAGCAATTGGGGGGTGATGAGTTTTAGAAGTTTACCGTCACTTTTTTTTCTATGAAGCATTTCAAAAAACTTTGTATGGCTTAGTGGCCAAATATGTGACATTTGTTTAAATAAAACATAGGATTACTCCTGGTATGGTTTAGTGTTAGTAGAAATTTCTGCATATAGTTCAAGAAGTATACTAAAGCAATTGGGGGTGATCAGTTTTAGAAGTTTACCGTCACTTTTTTTTTTTCTATGAAGCATTTCAAAAAAATTTGTATTATGAATTAATTTTAGGTCCTCCATATCTGTTTCAAATTTCTTTCAGAATCTGAAAACTGAAACTCCACTTTTTTCTCTAAATATTTGTACATTATATTTAAAATAATTATTATTGTCATTTAGTTAGATGTCAAAATATACTGAATGCAGATCATATTGGCTCCTTGTCCCTTTCGCTAATTTTAGGTTTCTAATAACTAAAACTAAGGCAGCTTTTAAAAGTGTATTACAATTGATTAAATAATAAATGTCCACTAAAATTAACAGTAAAACTGGATATTACGGGTCAGTTTGAAAACTCGCGAATTTGCCAAATGAATTATTTTTGCGCATTTTAGAAAATTCCTAACTCATTAAATTGCCATATTAGATGGTTGCAATTTTGAGTGAATCCTGCGCTGATCTTTAGAATATGGTAACTGGTAGTTTGGCGACATTTTGGAGGCAATAAAAGTTACTACCTGGGACTTTGGTAATAATGTGAGCAGTACTCAGTTCCGATTACGCATTATTTTGTGTGAGGGAAATGAGAGATCATGGGATATGTCATGTGATATTAATGGACGAATTACGGTTCTTTAATCGGAAAAGGGGGGAATTTGGAAAAATATCTGTGGCTGTATATTATTTTGTATTAAGCTTCATTGTGTGTTGTGTGAAGTAGGGTTGAATAATTTGGGGATTGTATGGCGCTGTCTAAAGTGAATTCTAGATTTTTAAGATTCTAGATTACACCATGTAAGCAAGATTCTGAAGAAGATTAGGTAAGTTAGTATTTTTAATTATTTGAGGATATTATGGTTGATCTTTACAATATGGTAACTGGTAGTTTGGCGACATTTTGGAGGCGATAAAGGTTACTACCTGGGACTTTGGTAATAATGTGAGCAGTACTCAGTTCCGATTACGTATTATTTTGTGTGAGGGAAATGAGAGATCATGGAATATGTCATGTAATATTAATGGACGAATTACGGTTCTTTAATCGGAAAAGGGGGGGAAATCGGGAAAAAATCTGGAATTTTGTATTGGCTTTATTCTGTGTTGTGTGAAACAGTGTTCGTGAATTTTTTGGATCCCATGGCCGTAACTAAAGTGAATTCGAAATGGGTATTTATGTATGTATTAATTTAATGTATGTGCTCATTTATATTTTAAGTAGTGTTTTTGAATTTAATTATATTTTAATTAAATGATAGTTATTTTTGTGAATTTTATGTTTGTAGGAATTTGGTATACGTTTAAGTTGAAGTAAACGTGCATGGAAATAATTTAAATATTTGATACTAAGTATTTGTAATGCTTGCGGTATGAATTCGTTGGTGACGTGTATAATGTAATAGATGATTTAGAGGTAAAAGTTTTTTTTTGAATATTTTATTTATTTTATATGTGGAAATGTTCATATTTGGAAAGGGTAAATACTTTTTCGCGATCAGGTAATTTCATATATGTTTCTTTTTTACCGGGTTTAAAGATTGAGAAAATTGTCATGTATTTTCGTGAAATTTTTCTAATTTATGAGAAAAAAAAGCAGTGTACATGGATATAGTGAAGAGTGTGCGCAATGCCATTTTTGTTGCAATTCTGGGATGTTTTTTTAAGTAAAAATAAGTCGGCATGTACATGGTTTATGTGTATGTGTTATTTTGAAAAACGCGTAAGGAGTATGGTATTGTGCACTTTTTCCCAATTTTGCAGTGAATATTTGTCATGATTAAGCAGTTTTGTTAGATAAAATTTCTAACATAAGTGTAATTCGGCTAGTAGATTGTTGGAAGAAGTGTTCAGTAGATAAAAAGAAAAGAAACATGTCTTTACTTCGTGAAGACAAAATGGCGGCAAGAAAAAAATAGACGGTTGCTGTAGGAGAGTTGGTCGCCAAATTTTCGCCAAAAAAACGCCAAGTTACCATAATGTAAAGATCAACCGATATTATTTTTATACATTGTTCTAAATGTAAGGTGGAAGTAAAGTAATTTGGTATTATTGGGAAAATTGTTATTAGCAATGATTTAGTTTAAAGTAATTAGGATTGTAAGCTAATTTTTATTAATTTAATGTGTGTGCTTATTTATATTTTAAGTAGTGTTTTTGAATTTAATTATATTTTAATTAAATGATAGTTATTTTTGTGAATTTTATGTTTGTAGGAATTTTGTATACGTTTTAGTTGAAGTAAACGTGCATGGAAATAATTTAAATATTGACACTAAGTATTTGTAATGTTTGCGGTATGAATTCGTTGGTGACGTTTTTATAATATAATAGATAATTTAGAGGTAAAGTTTTTGGATATTTTATTTATTTTATACGTGGAAATGTTCATATTTGGAAAGGGTATATACTTTTTCGTTATTAGGTAATTTCATATATGTTCTTTTTAACGGGTTTAAAGATTCAGAAAATTGTCATGCATTTTCGTGAAATTTTTCTAATTTATGAGAAAAAAGCAGTGTACATGGATATGGTGAAGAGTGTGCGCAATGCCATTTTTGTGCAATTCTGGGATTTTTTTTTAAGTAAAAATAAGTTGACGTGTACATGGTTTAGTGATATTTTAATTAAATGATAGTTATTTTGTGAATTTTATGTTTGTAGGAATTTGGTGTACGTTTTAGTTGAAGTAAACGTGCATGGAAATAATTTAAATATTTGACACTAAGTATTTGTAATGCTTGCGGTATGAATTCGTTGGTGACGTTTATAATATAATAGATGATTTAGAGTAAAGTTTTTGGATATTTTATTTATTTTATATGTGGAAATGTTCATATTTGGAAAGGGTATATACTTTTTCGCGATCAGGTAATTTCATATATGTTCTTTTTACCGGGTTTAAAAATTCAGAAAATTGTCATGTATTTTCGTGAAATTTTTCTAATTTATGAGAAAAAAGCAGTGTACATGGATATCGTGAAGAGTGTGCGCAATGCCATTTTTGTGTAATTCTGGGATTTTTTTTAAGTAAAAATAAGTCAACGTGTACATGGTTTATGTGTATGTGTTATTTTGAAAAACGCGTAAGGAGTATGGTATTGTGCACTTTTTCCCAATTTTGCAATTAATATTTGTCACGATTAAGCAGTTTTGTTAGATAAAATTTATAGCATAAGTGTAATTCGGCTAGTAGATTGTTGGAAGAAGTGTTGAGTAGATAAAAAGAAGAGAAACATGTCTTTACTTCGTGAAGACAAAATGGCGACGGGAAAAAAAAATAGAGGGTTGCTGTAGGAGAGTTGGTCGCCAAATTTTCGCCAAAAAATCGCCAAGTTACCATAATCTAAAGATCAACCGAATCCTGTAAACATGCAAAGAATTCATATCTAAAACAGAAGTTCGAAAGAAACATTGAAAAGTATTTGAAAGTTAATAACTGTGTATTTTATGAGATCAACAATACAGTACAAAGTCCGAGATCCAGACATCCAATATGATCTAAAATCCGGATCTCAAAGCCACCAACAACCTTTTTTTTTTTTTTTTTTTTTTTTTTGTATGCTTTAAGCATGCATGCACATTTTATTTTTCTCCCAATTATGGGGAGTTCCGATTCTTAAATTCACTTCGGCACTAAATAAAATACCTCATTATTCAAGAAACAATCATTTTAGCATAAATTTGTATAATCAGTAATTTAACTCCATAGTTGGGTATCTGCTTGGCATACATCTCAAATTGAAACATTATCATTGATTTTACACTATTACTATTTTATATTCCTACCACCAATCTGGCGAATCATTATTATATTTTGCTTTCATCACAGCATGTTTATCAACACATGATAACTTGAGTAATGACTCATGCAGAAATGCCTAACTAATTTTTTATATAGCAAATATTACTGAATAAAAAAAATAGCAAAAGGTATGGTAACCTTTTGTGTTAACATTACGCTTAGCGATGATTACAGATTTTAGTTAATTTCACTAAGACATGCTTTCCATATGGTAAAAACATTTTGTTAATGATACTCGTAGATAAAATGATTTTATTCACATACACTCAAAACTGGCATCAGAGCTCATATGGCCGCACTGGGTGGGGGATTCTAGAAAAGACAAAATTTTTGGAATTTACAGAAGCACCTGGTAACAAAATTAAG